AAAAAAAAAAAAGGAAGAAGATATAGAAAATTATAGAAAAACAAAGAGAAAGTATATAAGTACAGACCCTCAGTCTAAAAACATTCTTTGGATTTATTCTAATAGCCCACAAAACTTCCAAGAAAGAAAACTTAATTCATACAAGAAAATCTTTTCCACTTTAATTAAAAGCAAAATCTTAGAGAACTACATTTGGCACAGTCAAGAAACTAGGGATTATGACTTAAAATGAAGAATATTATGATGACTTAATATATTTTTTAAGTGCCAGTCTAGTTTTTAATCTTTAAATGCCTTAATCTCATTGCAAATAAAATGCCTGGTCTTCCAACATTCCCATATTTTGCTTTGTAAAAATATCTGACTCACCTGTGTTTTTTTCCATTGCCCTGGCCAGTTCCTCAACAGTCATTCCAATCCATACTTCTACCACCTTTTTAGATTTTGTTGAAGATAACTGAGATTTCCGTGGTCTTTCTTCCTATTAAAAAAATCAGAACATATAAACAAAAAGGAAGAAAAAACTTAAGTGACAATTTAGATTTATTCTGAAATATCTACCACAATCATAGCTACTATTTCTTTTTTTTGAGACAGAGTCTTGCTCTGTCATCCAGATCTCATCCGATCTCAGCTCACTACAACCTCCACCTCCTGGGTTCAAGCCATTCTCCTGCCTCAGCCTCCCCAGTAGCTGGGATTACCGGTGTGCACCACCATGCCCAACTAGTTTTTGTATTTTTTTTGTTTTTTGGTTTTTTTTTTGAGATGGAGTTTCTCACTCTGTTGCCCAGGCTGGAGTGTATGGTGTGGTCTCGGCTCACTGCAACCTACAACTCTCAGGTTCAAGCGATTCTCCTGCCTCAGCCTCCTGAGTAGCTGGGACTACAGGCATGCGCCACCATGCCCGGCTAATTTTTGTATTTTTAGTAGAGACAGGGTTTCACCATGTTGGCCAGGCTGGTCTCAAACTCTTGACCTTGTGATCTGCTTACCTTGGCCTCCCGAAGTGCTAGGATTACAGGCGTGAGCCACCGTGTCTGACCATAGCTACTATTTCTACCAACAAACACTCCCATAAGTAGTTAAAACTTAGGCTAAAATTAAATTCCTACATCCTTAATTCACTGTTGTACACTGATTCCCAAGGAACCAAATTCATCAGCACCACACAATTAACCAGAACTTCCCTTTCTCACAAAGCGCTATTGCTTGGAATATAGCATTAAGTAATAAATATTCTGTAAATGATAAAATACTCAAAATGGATTTCTACTCATGGTTCTAGGCACTTTCATTTTAGATCAAATAATAAAATAACTTACAGAAATCTGTAACTATGCCAGGCGCGGTGGCTCATGCCTGTAATCCCAGCTACTCAGGAGGCTGAGGCAGGAGAATCACTTAAACCCAGGAGGCGTAGGTTGCAGTGAGCCGAGATCGCACCTGTGCACTCCAGCCTGGGTGACAGGTTGAGACTCCGTCTCAAAAAAAAAAAAAAAAAAAAAAAAAGAAAACTGTAACTACCTTTTTTGTTACTAGAAACCTATACTGAGATAAAGCAGCCCCAATGAGCATTTCTGTTGGCCAGGGCCAGGCATACAGCTGAGCTGTCCACACAGGGTAAGCAGATGAAAACCCATGGCTCCACTGTCTTAATGCTCTTCTTTGACACAGACTGTGCAGTTGCCTATAAATAGTGTGAAATCGTAGCAAGTTCTCCAATTTCAATAGCCTCTGGTTCATGTTTCTCCTAGGAAAAAAAAAAGGTTTTAAAATAATATTCAAATCAAGTTAGCAAATATTAATTGGATATTTACTATATGCATAGCACTGGGCTACACTTAACTCACTAGACTTACAACAACGAGTAAAACTGGGTTCCTGCCCTGAAAAAACTCAGTCTCATCAAGCGATGGGATTCCATACCAAGTACTCTCTAGATACTAGCTATTATCATTACTGTTAATGTTACTACTATGATAGAATTGAAATACAATAACAACTTGTAAAAGGCTCTTTTTTCACTCTTGAAATATCAACTAACCAAATCACAACTAGAGTAATTTTTCTAAAGTGCAAATTTGAAATGATCACCTTTCTGTTAAACACTCTGAAACTTCTTTTTTGAAACTGGGCCTCACTATATTGTCCAAGCTGGAGGCTGGAACGCACTGATGTGGTCACAGCTCATTGCAGCCTCGACCTCCTAGGCTTAGGTGATCCTCTCACCTCAGCCTCCCTAATAGCTGGGACTAGAGGTGCCCACCATTATGCCCAGATAATTTTTTGTTTGTTTTTTTGGTAGAGATGGTGTTTCACCATGTTGTCTAGGCTGGTCTCAAACTCCTGGGATCCAGTGATCCACCCTGGTCTCCCAAAGTGCTGGGATTACAGGCATGAGCCACCATGCCCAGCCTTACTTTATTTCTTACACTCTTAGAGTCTCTACACTCCTACCTCTCAAGCTTTTGTTATTATAACCCACCTATAATCTCTGATGGCTTGTCATCTCATCTCTGAAACTTTGCACACACTTCATCTAGTGGGAACTGTCTTTCAATTCTTAACACTTTTCCATCTTCCCATCTCACCCCCTAAAAAAAGATGCTTTATAGTAGGAAGAAGACACCCAATATTTATTGAATAATGCCTTTTGAGTTATTAGTCTTAGAATGAAAGAAGAGTTTTTTGAGAGAAAACTGTAACAGAACTCATTAGTAATAGTTCTTTTCCTCCCAGTGGCCTCTACTGCCTCTGCTCTCAAGACTGCATTTCTATGGCTTTGCTTTTCAGTTTTTAGGGGCAGGAACGACAAAAACAATGTAAAAAGAACATGTTTTCCGGCCGGGTATGGTGGCTCATACCTGTAATTCCAGCACTTTGGGAGGCCAACGTGGGCAGATCACCTGACATCAGGAGTTTGAGACTAGCCTGGCCAACGTGGTGAAACCTCGTCTCTAATAAAAATACATATAAAGCTATCTTGAACAAAATTATAAACTTTTACAAAGTTTTAAAATTTTTGGCCAGGCACAGTGGCTCATGCCTGTAATCTCAGCACTTTGGGAGACCAGGGTGGACCAGGGTGACCAAGGGAGGCAGGTCATTTGAGGTCAGGAGTTCGACACCAGGCTGACTGATATGGTGAAACCCCATCTCTATTAAAAATTCAAAAAAATTACCTGGGCGTGGTGGCACATGCCTGTAGTCCCAGCTACTC